TTTGATGGACTGTGTTGTCATCAACGGGTCTATGTGCCAAGTTTCAGTTCAATGGGTTGACGGGAAGTGGGTCAATTAGCCTTCCAAAGCTTTTGCCACACACCCTGCCAGAGAATGAAAAAGCGAAGTTAATAAAAAACAATATTTTAAAATTAAAAGAAAGCAACAACCCCACTCTTTTGATTGTGTCAGGTTATGGCAGCATAAAAAAAGATTGGCATTCTTTTATTTCACTGCATCAAAATCAGGTCACAACCCGTCAACACAACATATACCCCCTCCCAACCCGCCATACGTTAAATACGAACTCTACCCAGGAAATTGTATTGTTAATCTCGCTATCGTGTAGTTGACGCGAGCTGTCAAAAATTTGAAATTACGGCCTTTTGTTTCTATGATTCCCTTTGTAATTTGATCGTCTGCTGGGTGATCAAAAGAAATCAGGATCAGCAATCGCCGCTTTCACTCTGGAGGATTTACTTTGGCGATCAAAGTAGTCTCCCTTTAATAACAAATCGTGACAATCGGTATTTTATTTCATAATGAGCAAAGCAGTTTTGCTTATTTGCATAATCTCGAAATTTCCTTTTAAGAAAAAAAGCAAAAATAAAAATGATTTTTAAGGCGAATTGTAAAACTGCGTGGTGAGGTGAAAGCTCAGTTTGAATACTGGAGTCGGGAAAATTTTGATTCTGACTCCGGGCGCCCGCCGTAGCACGAAGATTTTGTTCCCATTGGTGAATGATATCATAAAGAAAAAAAACAACCTAAACAAATAAATCAACTATTTCTGTCATTTGGTGATATTTAAAGCTAATCCTTGGCTTAAACTTTAATTTTATAAAGAAGAAGAGGTATTGAAAGAACTACATTTTATAAAAGAAGAAGGAGGGGGGGGGGGGGGCAGGCTAAAAACAAATCCCGCCGGCTAGAAAGCTAAAAGCCATTATATTTATGGCCGATTCAAAGATACACATTGAAAAAAAAAAAAAAAAAACTGTATCACTTGGGTCATTCCGCCTTACAAGAAAGGGTTTTCCCGTTGCGCTGCACACAGTAGTGCGAGACACGTTTTACTGGAACAAAGCTCAAGCCGCGCTGCGGCACTCGAAGTAAATACAATGACCTGATCAGCAGACGGGGCTCCATTAGAATTTACGCTAAAGCTTAGAAGCCAGGGAAACGCTATGCCATGGGGGATAAAAGGCGCACTTGTGAGGAAACCCGAGACGCGGCCAGTTAATAAAGGGCATCGCAGATGAGTTTTTCTGATAACAAAATTACTAGAATCTGACGTGATAAGAGCGTTCTAAATTTAGAATCGGGCAGCTAAACGGCAACTTGTCGTCAAACCGACATGTACGTTTATTCAGCTGTTGATTTAAAAAAAAAATCATTTTAGGGTAATAATAAAGCAGCAAGTCTAATAGAATTATATCTTTTCGTAACGGAATATGTGCATGACATCTTTTCATAAAAGAATGTGTGCATGATATCTTATCATAATGGAATGTGTGCATGATATCTTATCATAATGGAATGTGTGCATGATATCTTATCATAATGGAATGTGTGCATGATATCTTATCATAATGGAATGTGTGCATGATATCTTATCATAATGGAATGTGTGCATGATATCTTATCATAATGGAATGTGTGCATGATATCTTATCATAATGGAATGTGTGCATGAGATCTTATCATAATGGAATGTGTGCAAGACATATTTTCATAATGGAATGTGTGCATGGTATCTTATCATAATAGAATATGTGCATGATATCTTATCATAATGGAATGTGTGCATGATATCTTATCATAATAATAATAATAAAGTTAATTTAAAAAAACACGCTTCATCCCCAAAGGCTCGAAGCGCGGTACAAAGTCAACAAAAAACAAATCTATAATTTACCACATTTAAAACAAACGCAACACTACAAAAACTAATTACAAGCAAACAATGGCAAAGTCTTTATAGCCATTTCAACCATAAGCATGACAGCCATTATGCATTAACTGGAAAATAAGGTTGACAATCATCCCAGACGGTGTTTGCGAAATAGATGTGTCTTCTAATCACTGATCATGAGATGCTGACCACTCACTCAATCACTGACCCATGAGATACTGACAACAACAAAGCCTATTAAGTGATTTATTTTTCTGGAGATTCCCCTTTATACTCTTAGGTGTGAACTGATAATTTTTTTCTTTAAAATTCCACATTAAGGTGATAAAAAATGACCAAAGTCTCATACGCTGTTAATCTCTATATATAACTCGCCAGCAAAGGTCAAACACCACAACCACGCAGGCTATATATACATACGCCAAAGTGTGGTTCAATAATGAGTTCACTAGCGCGTAAAATATAATTCCCGATAACTACTCTAAATGATATATATATATTTAATAACGCCATTGCGTTTGGTGCATAATATTTTTTTTTTCGGAAATGAAATCATGTCAATTTAAGTATTGTGTAAAAAAATATTCGGTTTCAAAGTTGTTGGGACATGAGAATATTAATATAGTTCATGGGCGTGAAATAAAAAGTGCGCAGTGACGTATCATGGGGGAATAGGGTGTAGCAAATATGGCGATTCTTAAATTTGCTTTACTTCAGTTCATATTTTGTCAAGTATTTTTAGTAGATTGGGAAGTTCACGGATTGCTGTCTCCAATGTTTGGCGGGCTATATCTAGTGTAATTTTTTTTTTTTATGAGTTTTGATACATGCTTTTGAAAGTTTATTTGTTTAGTGAAAATGTTTTGGTGTCGAGATTAATAAAAAAATTCTTACCTAGAATGATTTTGTTAATGACGTTTTAAAACTTGGAGCTTTTAGAAATATATGTTTACTCGTTATATTTTGGCAATCATTTGCGAAAGCAATGATTTAACTTCCAATCTATTAAAGTTACTTGACAAAATATGACCTAAAGTAACACACATTTAAGAAACCAAATTCTTACTACACCCCTTCCCCCATGTTACGTTACTGCAAACTTTTTATTTCATGTTCATAAAACTATATGAAATATTCTGATGTTCGAACCACTTTTAAACCGTATATTTCTTAAGCAATATTTAAATTCTGTAGATTCCTAGCAGGAATACGGCATGAGCTCACTTAATTCAGATGACTAGCAGGAATACGGCATGAGCTCACATAATTCAGATGACTAGCAGGAATACGGCATGAGCTCACTTAATTCAGATGACTAGCAGGAATACGGCATGAGCTCACTTAATTCAGATGACTAGCAGGAATACGGCATGAGCTCACTTAATTCAGATGACTAGCAGGCAAACGGCATGAGCTCACTTAATTCAGATGACTAGCAGGAATACGGCATGAGCTCATTTAAATCAGATGACTAGCAGGAAAACGGCATGAGCTCACTTAATTCAGTTTACTAGCAGGAAAACGGCATGAGCTCACTTAATTCAGTTTACTAGCAGGAATACGGCATGAGCTCACTTAATTTAGCTAAATGATTCGCGGGAAACAAATGCCACACTTTGTAGTATCACTAAAGTTAGTTTCTTAGAAGCCCCCCCCCCCACAACGTCTAGCTTTTCAAATGTCTCTCATCCCGTTCAAATTATTATTCCCATCAATGACTGACGCTTGAGTTAGTGCCACCCAAGGTGAGCCAAAATGTTTCCACGTACACAAGTGTGCAATATGCCAGATGTGCCACCCTTCCAAAAAAACGAAAAAAAAAGTCCCACTCCAACCCAATCCTACGCCACTGATTTGGGTGCACTTTTTTTTCAAAAACAATGGGCACAGGAAAGAACAAAGATATTACGTCATTAAACCTACAAACCAAATGTTACAGAAATAATTATGTCAATTTGAAACGTTATGCTGAGTTACAAATGTCTACACCAGTTGATGATATTAAACATTAAATCCGTGGTTTAAGATATTAAATCTATATAGTGATATATAGAATCTTGATGGATGCGTATCGGTAGCTAAAATAAAACAGTGCATGTTCAAAGGAAGTGAAAATCACATGAGAACCTGACATCACGTCACAACCCCCCCCCCCCCCCCCACAGGGACAGCATAATCGTGCATCGTTCAACACATTCTGGCATCGCTACAAAAATATTTGGATGCCAATGGCAAGGTTTTAGGCAGTTTGCTCACAGGCGAATAACTGTTTCCAGTGGGGCAGTTAAAAATGGAAATCAAATGGTGATAAAATGGCTGCTGTTTCGTAGATGAGCAAGGTGTTTTTACGTTATATTTATTACGTTATAAGCGCTTAGAGCTGTAAGGTAAGCGCTATATAAAAATGCTTAAATAAATAAATATTTCAAAATTTTAGGCCTATTGTTAGGGATTTATAATTGCAAATGACAAGTTATTTTGATGAACTCAGTTAATTCATCTATCGGTATTTATTATTGTAACAAAATTCTATACAATTATTTCTTTTTTTTAAAATTGTATATCAAATAATTAACAAATATATAGTTTTAGCACAAACTGTAAACTGTGATGCATAAAGACTTGAATTTCATCTCCAAGGTACACATTTGGCCAACCCGTGTCCGGGATGGTAGAGCTTCATGTAGGTAAAAATGTCCTAATGCAGCCCGACACTTGTGGAAACACTGAGGCATTGACAACCCAGATCTCATTTGAGGTAATCAAACAAAATAAGTAAATCTACAATGTTTGGAAGGTAAGATTTCTGGCTCATTATCTGTACTTCTAAGAGGGATTTCTTTCACGAATTTGAGCCTGACTTTCTTTTTTTAAAGCAAAATTTCATGTGTAACATTACTAGACGAAATGATTGTTTTCCTTGTCACCAATTAAGAGTAAATCGCGTAAACATTGTTAAAATATTTTTTTTTTATTTTAAATTTATGCTAAACAAGTTAATTATGAGCACTACATAGCTGCAGGTAATTACAAATTGTTGTCACTTACACCCCCCCCCCTTTTTTTTTTCTCGTTACCCCACTTCAGATCAATGGAGAAACCTCCTTTACGATTCCCACAGAAGACATAAAGAGGACTGTGTACGTCACTGAAGGTTCAAAGGTTAGAGTAACCGCTTTCGTCACAGAGACGACCACGGGTGAGTGAGCCTTTTTAAAGCGTTGCCCACGATCGCCATCCTCTCTGAGGGCGCAGTTTGACGCGTTATCGAGGAGAGTCAGTTCTGAAAAATGGTCACGGTGGCTTATCATGCGTTTGAAATCACCATGCCATCAGCTTTAAAATTCGCCATAGGCACTCTCCCGAATACCTTGAGAAATAAATGTAAGCCAAAAGAACAGTAAGAACTGAAAGGACCGCATTGCTAATCAAAATAGCCTTCATTTAAAAATTAAATGGGATTTTCTTAAAAAATAAAGCGGTCATGAAACGTTCCATTATAGAAAGTCACAATATTGAAACCATGCAAGAAAGTCCCAATATTGAAACCATGCAAGAAAGTCCTAATATTGAAACCATACAAGAAAGTCCCAATATTGAAACCATACAAGAAAGTCCCAATATTGAAACCATGCAAGAAAGTCACAATATTGAAACCATGCAAGAAAGTTCTAATATTGAAACCATGCAAGAAAGTCACAATATTGAAACCATGCAAGAAAGTCCCAATATTGAAACCATGCAAGAAAGTCACAATATTGAAACCATGCAAGAAAGTCCCAATATTGAAACCATGCAGGAAAGTCACAATATTGAAACCATGCAAGAAAGTCACAATATTGAAACTATGCAAGAAAGTCCCAATATTGAAACCATGCAAGAAAGTCCCAATATTGAAACCATGCGAGAAAGTCACAATATTCAAAACCATGCGAGAAAGTCTTAATATTCAAACCATGCAAAGTCCTACAGCATGAAGTAGACCTTAACAATTGTTCTTTTTTTTTAACAGTAAATAAGCGAGATCTCATAGAAAACTTTTATCTAGAAACAATCTGCCCATTGTACAGTTACTAGATTTCAAAAATACTATTATTACGTTTTATTTCTGTTACGCACCGTTGTTAATAGGGAGAAATTAATCTCCTATTTACTTGTATGGCTCGTTTCAAAACAGTGCATAACAAAAGACTATACCAAAAGTAAAAACAATAACAGAGAAATACGATACTCAGATAAAGCTAATTACAATTAATAAGTTTCAATTTAGTTAGTAATAAGGTATAAAAGTCAAAAAGAAATATAATTGAAAAGTTTTAAGTTACAGTATATTGTGTGGCTGGCAGGGGCGTAGCGAGGCTGTTTGGCACCCGGGGACAAGATTCGCGCCCGGGGACAAGATCCATTTTAAAGCGCCATCTTTTCTTTGTTAAACTCTCAAACCCATTATTGTTAGCAATAATATAATATCAAAGCACATTTTGGCGCCCCTAACAAGCTTGCGCCCGGGGACAACTGCCCCCCTGCCTCCCCTCGCTACGCCTCTGGTGGCTAGTACCAGTAAAATGTCGAAATAAAACACAGTGTGCAAAAATGTGCAAACAAGGAAAAGAAGTGTACTGTAAACAAACTCTCATACGTTCCAAAATTAACTTCACTCGGCATCTTCGTATCTGCTCTGCAGTCTGCTTGCCATTTGTCTGTATTTATAGATTATTCCATAAAAAATCCACCATGTATTACGCATTGTATTAGTGACTCACGCGTTCTACCATTTCTACCATTTTTCTACCTTTTTCGAGTCAAGAAAACAAGCGATAGATTGGTTTGTGGTGAACATGATCAAAGGGAATAAGCCACGCCCAATACTAACGCAGGCGAATTGGTGTCAGCTTAAGGTCGTTCGCCAGAGTAAAAATAGAACGCCTATATATAACAATATCCCTGAAAATACCGTAGCCCACATTACACCAAACTGAAAATAGAGACAGATATGATAATAGGTTCCATTTTGACAAATACATTATACGCCAACACACTTAAGTCAATAATTAGAGGGTATTGAAAGATTTGAAGAGAGTTTATATATTTTTTTTTAAACAACTAATTTAATGCCGTCTCTCGTTAGAATTTTGTCGCTTCTACTCTGCATTCTGTCAATGCAGTTATAATTTTTAGTTGTGAGGAACATAGTTCACGTATGATATATTTATATCACTAATTTTTAATTTGATAATCCAGGCATCAGACTGAATGGTTCCAGCGTGGTGAAATTTTACAGAAACAAATTTCAAGTCAAGTTTTTAGATAAAACACCAAATGTCTTCAAACCTGGACTTCCGTACACGGCATTTGTAAGTAAATGACAAAATCTGACATTTGTTAAATGTACAAACCCTACCTTACTTGTAGTGAAGCACGGGTGTAATATTCTAGCATGACATAAGAGAAAAAAGGAAAGAAAAAAATGAGTCTGGTATCACTGTATAATAGATGACATTTATAAAACACCACTATTAATAAATTTTAACGCGGCAATCACCATGCGTCAGTTACAACATAATCCACACAAAAAAATTATTAGACTGTAAATACAAAATACGCAACGCAGTTCAAGGTGGAATGCCACATAACACTATTAGGCTACCTTTACTTTGGAACCCAAAATTCGATGCACGTGACACAGTTCCAATCTCAGAAAAAGCAACTACTGTATCTATTTCCCAGTAACATGCATCATCATCACGACTATTATTCCAGGGATCTGCTTTGACATGGCGAACGATGCAGCGTGTTTAAAACGCCTAATTATAGAATAAATTAACACCTGAAAGTATTAAATTCAAACATAAACACTTAACACAAGTGCTTTGTAAAAAAAAAATATACTTATTTATTAATGATATTTTTTTTATATTTTTGTTCTCTGACGCATTGTCGCAAAAATCATTGCCATATTATGCAGATGTCACTTAAGGCTTCCCGCCACATAGCCAAAGACATCCATATGACTCTCTAAAACATTCAGAGACGACCCTAAGCTTGTCTTCATTTCCAACCCCTGTATTCATTTCTAATCCTTTTCTTCATATCCAATCCTTGTCTTCATATCCAAACCACTCTCTTCATTTCCAACCCCTGTCTTCATTTCCAATCCTTGTCTTCATATCCAATCCTTGTCTTCATATCCAATCCTTGTCTTCATATCCAATCCTTGTCTTCACATCCAATCATTGTTCCTATCCAATCCTTGTCTCCATATCCAAACCACTGTCTTCATTTCCAACCCCTGTCTTCATTTCCAATCCTTGTCTTCATTTCCATCCCCTGTCTTCATATCCTATCCTTGTCTTCATATCCAATCCTTGTCTTCATATCCAAACCACTTTCTTCATTTCCAACCCCTGTCTTCATTTCCAATCCTTGTCTTCATATGCATCCCTTGTATTCATATTTAACACTAGTCTTCAAATCAAACCCTTGTCTTCATATCCAACCTTTTTCTTCATATCCTACCCTTGTCTTGATATCCAACCCTTGTCTTCATATCCAAATCTTGTCTTCATATTCAACCATTGTCTTCATACGCATCCCTTGTATTCATATCCTACCCTTGTCTTCATATCCAACCCTTGTCTTCATATCCTACCCTTGTCCTCATATCGAACCCTTGTCTTCGTATCCAACCATTGTCTTCATACCTAATCCTAGTCGAAAGGTTTGAATTTTTTTTGTTTAATTAAAAGAAAGATACTTGTGAACTTCAACAGTGGCTGAATGTGGGTCGTGTCTGAAAAGCCGCTGTTTACTTTGCAAACTGATCAGTTACAGTTTTAGTTAAGGTCGTGCATGCTCATTTTTTCCCCCGCGTTTCAGATTCAGGTGTGCAGCCCTGACAAAATGCCTCCGCCTGGAAGCAACAACGTCATCCATGTCTACACTTACGTCACATATGCTAAGAAGGTGCCCGGCCAAGATCTTTACGACGTATCATCGTTCACAGGGACGTACCCACTCCCTGGACAAAACCTTACATTACCTGCCAGCGGCCTGTTGCCCATAGAAATTGACATACCTAAAAATGCCACAGAAATCAACATCAAGGTGGGTTATGTTCAACAGACTAAAGGTGGGTTATGCCAACAGAATAAAGGTAGGTTATGTTCAACAGACTAAAGGTGGGTTAGGTTAACAGAATGAAGGTAGGTTAGGTAAACATAATAAAGGCAGGTTATGTTGAACAGAATAAAGTTTTGTCATGTTAAACAGAATAAAGTTAGATTATCTTAAACAGAATAAAGTTAGGTTATGTAAAACAGAATAACGGTAGTTTGTTACCAGAATAAAGGTAGGTTATGTTAACTGAATAAAGGTATGTAATGTTAAACACAATAAAATGTAGGTTAAGTTAAACATACTCAGGGTATGTTATGTTAAACAGACTAAATGTAGTTTATGTAAAACATAATAAAGGCAGGTTATGTTAAACAGACTAAATGTATGTTTTTTAACAGAATAAAGCTAGGTTAAGTTAAACATACTCAAGGTATGTTATGTTAAACAGACTAAATGTAGTTTACGTAAAAAATAATAAAGGTAGGTTATGTTAAACAGACTAAATGTATGTATGTTAAAAGACTAAAGGTAGGTTATGTTAAACAGACTAAAGTTTGGTTTTATTAAAAATAATAAAGTTAGGTTTTGCTAAAAAGCCATTACATAGTGCAATCAAACTTATTTAAAAATGTAGGTTGCCACTTTCACAACCTTTCTGGTCTACTGTGAAATTAGGCTTTGACTAAGCCAGCCCGATGTTAATATATATCTATATCTATATATATACTGGCGGATATACCCAGCATTTGCCGGGATAGCATTCGGAACGAAGGAACTACTACAGTGTACAGCCTTATAATTATTCAGATCCCGGGGGGCTCCCAATCCCGTCGGTATCGCGCTCCCGTTAGTATACCGTTTCCCGGTGGGATTCCGATCCCTCTTGACCCCCAATTCCGGTATGATCCCGATGCCGTCGGTATTCCGATCCTGGTGGTATCTCGATACCATTTGGATAACGATACCGGTGGGATCCCGATACCTGTGTAGTACCGATCTCGGTATTTTTGAGTTTTCCGATAGGATTCCGATTCGAGTGGGGTCCCGATCCCGTCAGTGTGATGATCCTGTTAGGATCCCGTTTCCCGGTGGTTCGTCCTCTCTCTGATAGGATACCATTCCCTGATAGGATACCATTCCCTGATAGGATACCATTCCCTGATAGGATACCATTTCCTGGTTGGATACCATTTCCTGGTTGGATACCATTTCCTGATAGGCTACCATTTCCTGGTTGGATACCATTTCCTGGTTGGATACCATTCCCTGATAGGATACCATTTCCTGGTTGGATACCATTTCCTGGTTGGATACCATTCCCTGATAGGATACCATTTCCTGGTTGGATACCATTTCCTGATAGGATACCATTTGCTGGTTGGATACCATTTCCTGGTTGGATACCATTCCCTGATAGGATACCATTCCCTGATAGGATACCATTTCCTGGTTGGATACCATTTCCTGATAGGATACCATTTCCTGATAGGATACCATTCCCTGATAGGATACTATTCCCTGATAGGATACCATTTCCTGGTTGGATACCATTTCCTGATTAGGATACCGATCCCTGATAGGATACCATTCCTTGATTGGATACCATTTCCTGGTTGGATACCATTTCCTGGTTGGATACCATTTCCTGGTTGGATACCATTTCCTGGTTGGATACCATTTCCTGGTTGGATACCATTTCCTGATAGGATACCATTCCCTGATAGGATACCATTCCCTGATAGGATACCGTTCCATGATAGGATACCATTCCCTTATCGGATACCATTCCCTGATAGGATACCGTTCCCTCATAGGATACCGTTCCCTGATAGGATACCATTCCCTGATAGGATACCATTCCCTGATAGGATACCGTTCCCTGATAGGATACCATTTCCTGATAGGCTACCATTTCCTGGTTGGATACCATTTCCTGATAGGATACCATTCCCTGATAGGATACCATTCCCTGATAGGATACCGTTCCCTGATAGGATACCATTCCCTGATAGGATACCGTTCCCTGATAGGATACCATTCCCTGATAGGATACCGTTCCCTGATAGGATACCATTCCCTGATAGGATACCATTTTCTGGTTGGATACCATTTCCTGATAGGATACCATTCCCTGATAGGATACCATTCCCTGATAGGATACCGTTCCCTGATAGGATACCATTCCCTGATAGGATACCATTCCCTGATAGGATACCATTCCCTGATAGGATACCATTTCCTGATAAGATACCGATCCCAGTTTGATTCCGTTACCCCAGAGGATCTCGTTACCATTGGGTTCAATTTACTGCTGGATCTAGTTAACGTTACTATACGCTCTTATATTCCTTTGTTTATCCTCCTAGAACAAAATAGAAATTTTTATAACATTCTAGATACAATTTAATAACCTCATCAAAACATGGTAAAAATAACCTTCTAAGTAATTATTTTTGAAATCGAAAAATAACACAACCAAATGCACTGCTATAGCTATGATTCATTTAAGCTAAAAGAGGGGTCCCAGTGGGGGCCTATTCCATAATTTCACCGAATTAATTTTACCTGAGATGGGGGAACCCCATAAAAATCATTTAGATAAATTATGAAGTTAAAATTTAAAATTAGTCCGATTAAAATTGGCTTAAAAATGCCATAGAAATAGCTTTTTAGAGTTATCGAACGTCCTCGAAAAAAAATTATAGATTGGAGATTATTAATTTTGAATCCACAGATATTTCAATACGGACAATAAAGGGTATTGCTACCACGCTAGGGCTATATCCATCAATTCACATAGAAACTATAGTGTGTCAAGATCCATCTATTCATGTAGGAGTATGAAGCCTTTCGATATTTATATAGCTTATCTAAGAAAAAACTAAACCTGTTCCCCCGGCCCCAGATGAAAGGATATTATGCGGTCAGTACCCTTCGGTATTTGAGTATGGATAATAAAGTGTAAGTGTACTAAATTTGGTCAAGATCCATCGATTCGTGTAGGGGTATTTTTTAGTAATTTTATTTATATAGCTCACTAGACGATATACCCGGCGTTGCCCGGAATTGCATTAGGACCTTATCCTGGTGGTACCCCGATCCCATTGGGACCCCAATCCCATGCTGAAACCAATCCCGGCGAACTCCCGTTTGCCGGTGTGATTACGATCCCGGTGGTTATTTTCAAGGTTGGGATCCTGAATCCCGATGGGATCCCGCTTTCCGGTGGGATCCTGATCAAATTGGGATAAAGATTATGATGGATTCCCGACCCCTTTGGTTTCTATCCAGAGTTTAAAAATTACTCAGTGGTACTGAGAGAAATGTAAACTACGGGACAGTATAGAAATGAATAGAACTAACGAACATTTCAATATTTCATTCGATCCCACTATATATCCCCATGTAACAATTTAGAAATTTCTGGAATATTCTGGATTAAATCTAATAACCTCCTCGAAACATGTGTAACAACTACTTACCTAATTATTTTTTAACGATAAAAATCTTTGACAAATGCTATGATTATAATCCTTTTTCTTTTAAGTTAATTAAGGCGCACCAAGGGTCCCATTCCTTAACTGTACCGATTTAGTTATGCCTGAGATATGTGGCCCTATAAATATCAGACGGATAAATTAATTGAGTTAAAATTTAAAATGTGTCCCATTAAAATCTACTAAAAAATACCATAGATATCGTCTAGCTTTTTAAAATTATCGAACTTTCTGGAAAATTCTAGAATGGATATTATTAGTTTTAAATCCACCGACATTTTAACAAGGATGATGAAGAGTATTGCTACAACGCTCGGCCTATATCCATCAATTCACATAGAAACTATAGTATTGTCTAAGCCTATTGATATTATATTGCTTATAAAGAAACAAGAAACGTGGCCCCCGGCCCCGGTTGAATGGATTTATGAGTTCAATACCTTCGGTATTTGAATATGGATACGCAAGTGTGTGTGTACGAAGTTTGTTCAAGATCCATCAACTCATGTAGGAGTATTTGTTGTTTATTTTATTTATATAGCTCATGTTAGGAAAAAAAACGAATTCGGGGCCCCCGGCCCCAAACCGAATGTTATAAAAAACTCATAACCCTTAAGAGTTCCTTCTGGATAATGATGCATATATCTGTCACGTTTGGTCAAGATCCATCAATCTATGTAAAAACGTATGTGGAACAAATCCAGCCACAAACAAACAAACTTTCACTTTTAAATATGTATGATATATATCTATATATCTATATCTCTCTCTCTCTCTCTCTCTCTCTATATATATATATATATATATATATATATATATATATATATATATATATATATATAGAGTATATAACAATATATATATGTTATATATATATATATATATATATCTCTCTCTCTCTCTCTCTCTATATATATATATATATATATATATATATATATATATATATATATATATATATATATAACTAGAGTAAATGACCCGATTTTATCGCGATAATAATGGTAGGTCCTTTGCGATAATTTCTGACTGCTATTGCAAAAACTCATCCCAATTTATAACTTTTAAAATATAATGTGATTTACGTGTACCCTACACACTTTCAAGCCCCTAAACTAATTTTCCCCCTCTCAACATGACCTTAAATTACCCCGTCTAGATTATCACTAATTATATCACTTTTGTCACTAAAGAAGTTAATTGAGGGACAATTACTACTCTAGAGAAATACTTTAGATTTACCCCTTTTTTATGACTTTGAATTACAACATTTTCTCTCAAAATTTTAAAAAAACTAATCTTAAATTTACAACAAAAACTCTATTTATGATATAACATTTTTATATTTTTATTGTATTACAGGAATTCGATAAATATTGATATCTTCATCAAAAATGTAAACTCATTTTTGCCTTTTTAAAAAATTATACATTATCAGAAATTTGTAAAACAAAGAATTATTTTATCTCAGACGAATATCGCAACTGTTTTTCA